TATGGAGGTACAGATGCAAGGCAGTACATGAAAACAAAAAGTATACCTCCAATCACCTGCTGCATCACTTCCAATGCCTTTTAACAAAGATACTCACTTAATAATATCTTTGACTCTTCTACTCCATACATTCATTCTTCTTCTTCTTCCTTCCTTTCTTCCTATATCAATAATGCTGACACAAAACTCTTGACACACACCATGAGATTCACAAATGACTGTATATATGTATATAATGGAAATTATAACAAAACAATCAATAACACTAGGCCCCCCCCCCCCACTCCAATTCCCCCTCCAATTGACCCCTCCCAACATAACCCAAGAACCCTTTTTTTTAGACATTTAGAAAATTTATGATTGGTGATTAATATGTTTAAAAATGCATGTATATGATTTTGTACAAAATTAACACATTCGTCCTCTCCCTTTCACTTCCTTAACACACACAATATAACTGTGTATAAAGGTATATAATAGGAATTATAGCAAGCTCCCCTTCCCCCCCCCCCCCTCCTTTCTATTTGATATAAAGTTCCTCCCAATATAACCCAAAAACCCATCTTTAGACAATTAGAAATGTGATAAATAAAATGTTTGTTTGATTAATAGGTTTGAAATGCATGTAAATGACTTTGTATAAAATGAAACACAGACAAAAGGCAACACGTGTAAATACACTAACAGAATTAAACAATAAAAGATTTTCAAAAAGGAAAAAAAAAAAAAAAAAAAATATAGGAAGGAAAGGCTTTGAAGAGGAGTGGTCATCCCATCTTTTGTGACACAGCCTAGCTATACGAAGACCTCACACCACATCTCAGCAACAGTGTCATCATCTCTATAGACTATAGGACTACATTCATTATTCATTAGGACCTAATTTAAGTAACTTTACTTTTACAGGTACAAGGGTGAAAATCTGGCAGCTGATAAACCAGAAATATGGAATGTTTAGTTCACTAATAACTTAACTTGCATTCTGTAGATGGGAAGGGACTATTTTATATTTCATAGAATGCAATCAAATATCTGTTTTTGAGTAAATCTTAGTGTCTTTTACTTTTATTTATGACTAATACATAGTAGGGTTCTTTCTTCTATGTCAGGACTAAGTTTACTCAGGAACCCAAATTTTCCAAATTGGGGCCGGAGCATGATTTGATTCAAGATGCAAGAACCGACATCATAGCACTCCGGGCATTCCCATAAGTGCTCCGTCCCCATCTTCAGCAGCCAGTGAAGAGTTCCGATACTAATGGTGCCAGTAGCTTTCTGATTAAACGTCCGTCTTGCCTTTCCTCTGAGCCTTGAGCTTCTGCCAGAACCTCTCGTCACCTCCAACTGCATCAATCTCACCAGACTGTGGTGATCCATCTGCTCCTCCGTATTGTACTCGCTCTCCCACAAGGCACTAACCACGTCTGCCCTATCATGTAGCAGTATTCCACCAAGTTGTGCAGAGCCAGCCAGTCTGTCCGCCTCTTCATTTCCCAACACACCGGCGTAACCCGGTGAAAAAATCCAGACAATACTCCTCACTTCACTCGTGTCCTCCGCAGCGAAGCATGCCACTCTGCACGAAGCATACCTGTTCTGATCTTCCTCAGCATGCTTACTGAATCAGTTACAATTACAATGTGTGTGTGTGTCGTGTTCTCTAGCCAGCGGAAAGCTGCAGTGACCGCCTCCACCTCCATTCTTAAGCTGGATGTTGTTGTATCATATGCTAGGCTCTTCTGCACCAAACGTCGACCATTAACTTTTGCTAAAAAGCCCCAAGCACTTCTTTTGCCTCTTGACACTGAACCATCTGTGTAAATGATCAAATCCTCTGAGTGAACATTATCTTGAATTAATTGCTGAATTTCCACCTCTGTGGCACCTGCTGGCCAGTCTCTGCATTCCCGGCTCAGCGTGATTATGACTCTACACAAGTCTGACTGCTCAGGTGGCACTTTGACCCACTCCTCTCCTCGCCTAATGTTCTCAAGGATGCAAACCTGTCTGATTGTGTCTTCTGCATGTGCCATCCATGACCTCCCTCTTATCAACCACTGACCTTTAACTGCACCCAGAGCTTCATGCAGAGGGTAGTCTGTGTCTGCAACTACCCTGAGATATGACTTCACCTGCATCACCTTGTGCCTATCTGCAACTGTCGGCAAACCAAGGATGTATCGCATACACACCACTGGGGTGTCTCTGGTGCAACCCAGAATGACCCGCATAGCCGCGTTCTGTATGCGCTCTAGTTTGTCCATCTGACTCTTTGAGACGATAAGCAGTCCCAGGCCATAATCCACCACTGACAGGATTAGGTGCTGATATAGTGTGAAAAGCGTTCTCTGCTCTATGTCAATTGCAGCCATAGTCTTAAGTGCACTAAGTCCTTTTTTGCATCTCGTCACAACTCTCCACATGGTCCTTGAATGACAGGCTCCTGTCAAATGTGATTCCCAGATATCTCAGTTTGCTCTCTCTGTTGACGTCTCTACCATCTATCGTAAGACTTGGGACATTAGTTTTAACGATTCTGTTGTCCAGAGAACACCACAAAACAGACGCCTTTTCAGGGTGGACGACAGCCTTCATTTCTGTACACCACTCAGTCACTTTGTCTACTGTCGCTTGTAGCTCCCAAGCTGTTTGTTTCCTCTCTTCCCCCTGCCTATATGCAAGTATATCATCCGCAAAAGTCAGTATCCTTCCAACTCCTGGTGCTTCTAGGCTTGCAATCTTGCTCGTATACACGTTGAAGAGCACAGGCGAGATGGCGGATCCCTGTGGCAATCCTGGGGCCAAAGTGCATGGTTCAGAGGTCCATGAGCCCAGTCGGAGAGCAACCCGACATGAATACAGGACAGCTACAACCCAATTCACCAGCCATGGATTGACCTCCTTCTCCCTCAGTGCAGTCATTAAGATGTTGTATCTCACTCTGTTATAAGCATCCTTGAGATCCAGTCCTACCGCCATAGTTTCCTGTCTGTTCTGGAACCCTTCATAGACGTCAAAAGCAAAAATGGCCGCGCAAAAGCAGAGATTAATCATTAATACAATACAACTTGCAATAACCACCTGCCAGATTTGGCCATTGGGCCATCAAATAAATAGCCCTATTCTGTGTTACTTTATGTATTGATGTCTCTAATGTTGCATGTTGATGAAGGCTGTTTGACTGAAACATTCATTCTGTCATTCAGGAGAGTATTTTTGGGGAAGCTGATTGCTTCTCGTTCTGGTAAACTTTTTTTTTGTCATTACCTTTCTTGTGTGACCAGATCTGATTATAACCATTATTTAATACTATCTACATTATACAGTAAAACCTCATTAACACAAAAGGACAGAAAGATCCTGAGTTCATGTTTAAAAAAATTTGTTCTGACCAGGGACTAAGATTAATACAGTCCTGCAGGGAACCTAAGTGTTCTTGAGAGAGTTTGTGATAATGAGGTTTTGCTGTATAATCCTATGTATTATGAAGCAAAATACTTTTTTAAGTCTTCTTCTTCTTTACATTCACTGGCTGTAAACTCCAGTGGAAAGTTCTGGTTGTTTGGTCACTTCTGGACTCTAGTCCTTATGGGAACCTAAGTGTAGCATGCACATCTATTTTACAGATCTGACTCATTAGTATGCAGACTGTTGGTTCCTTGCCTCTCAGACAGATGCAATCTGACTCCGAAAGAAGCTTTTAATTGGTAGACTCTTATGACGCTTCTGGGTAGACAAGAAACAATCAGCTGCACACAAAAAGGCAGTAAAACAGATGTACACACAAAATGCTGGCCCTGGCACCAAGCCAAAATAGACAAGCAACCAGGACTTTCAGCTGGAACTTTCAGCCGGTGAACAGGGACAAAGAATAAAAAGTGTTTCCTAGTTCATAAAAAGATTTTAAAAAATACATGTTGGATCTAAAAGGGTTCAGATAATAATACAGTATGACAAAACAGGTTCAAGCAAAGATTAGGACAGAAGGGACTAATGTATCATATAAAGATGAGGAATGGAGAATTGTAAAAAAGTGTGTATGTAAAGAAGAGTAATCATTAAATAAATGTTATGTATGTTTGGTTACGAAAGAGTTCATACATCAAATTTAAAATATAAAGCTTAGTCTTCTAAAGGATTACCAAATAACAGCTTTCCTCTGGATATTTTTTCCAGGTGATGCCAGTGTGTTGGGAAATGAGCAGGCAAATAGACTGATTGGTTCTGCACCACTTGGTGGTCAATTAATGTATGACAAGCTAGATGTTGTGAGGGCCCTTTGCGAGTGAACAGTACAGAGGCATAGACAGATCATTGCGGTCTTAGAAGAATGGCACTGCAAGAAGCTACCAGGGGGATCTGGCCGATGCTCAACACTCAAAGGAATGGCGAGACGGATATACAATCAGATAGTTACTGGTGCCGTCAAAATTGGAACTCTTCACTTACTGCTGAAGAGGGAGATGAAGCATTTATGGGAGTGTCCCAAGTGCTGTAATGTTGATTCTTAATTCAGCATACAACAACCAGCTTTTTTCTTGGAGTATATGCTCTTTCTTGGACTATGGGATGCAGAGGTGCATCAGAAGCAGGGCACCTACTGATCAGGACTTATCTACACCTCTGCATGGTCATCCTAGAATCAGATTCCTGCCGGGGGAAGGGGGGGGGGGGGGCTTGGCCAGTGTAATTTGGATGACATTTACCTTCAGAGTGCAACTGCCTGAAAGTCCAAGAATAAAAAATCTGCACACAAAAAGGCCAGATTTGTAAAACAGATTTGTAAGCAAAATTGAAGTTACGTTCTGTAACAAGACCAAAGTCCAGAAGTGGGGGAATAACCAGGACTTTCTGCTGAAGTCTACAGCCAGTGAAGAAGAAGAACAACAACAACAACAAAATGAAAACACTCATCCTGTTTTTTTCATTGTGTTGACTGTCTCTTTTGGCATCTGAAGTAAAATAATCTGGCTTGAATTGTTTGTGGCTTTCTGTTGCAGGAGTTTAAAGCAGTCAAGTGTCCCAGTGAAGAGCTGTCTATCACAAATGCTGTCATTGTTAATGAAAATGATTTCAAGGATTGCAGGTGGGTTGTCTTGATGATATATATGTATATTCTTGTGTAGCAGGGCCTGTAGAGAATGTTGCTGCCATCACAGCATGTTTGAAATAAACTCAGTCCCTCGCCAGCTCTTCTACCTCATGCACTTTCCTGCCTAAGGTGTCTCTTATATTTGAAGTATAATCATCCCCACCATGTCAACACACTGTGCAGTTGCAGCCAGTATAAAAGCTGTCGTTTAGACATAGTGGCATCCGCTCAAAAAACATCTTCTCCTCTAAAACCCTTAAAAGTAGGAAAACTGACTCTCTCAGGATGACAGGGTCAGTAGTTAAAATAGCCAGCTTAAATCGTGAAAAGTAATCCCTAACCTATCAAGCAATCAATAACTATATCCAGTACAGAGAACTAATATCCAACCAACCAGTAAGTTTATATTCAGATCTAAAAAAGCAGATCTCATGTTCTGGATGTTTTCTTTTACAGCCATGTGTATGTTAGTACAACACCCCGAAGTGAGTTCCTGTTTACCATACTGGCACATTCCAGCATGCCTCCAGGAAACATGGGTTTCAATGCCTCACATGTAAGTGCAGCTGTAATGTGTGCTTTCTTGACTGAAAGCTGGCGATAGAGTAATGGTTATTTTAACTTAAATATGTTCACAGTGGTTTCTAGTTCAATCCCTAATAATGGAAGGATTCCATTGCTTTATAACATCTTGTTCTGAGAGATGTAAAAGATGGCAGAGAATTTCCTGAAAGGGAATTGTGATGTGGGAGAAAAATTGTTTCACTGCTCATAATGCAGTATATTTGATGTGCGGCTCGGTGGATTAGAAGTTATTAATGGACATATTTTGCAACATTTGAAGTACCAGAGTTGGATTTCTGTGGGTGGCAGTTTGGAAAAGGCTGTTCTGGTGGCTTATTAACAGTGTTACGGGAGTCGAACATTGGAACAGGTTGACGCTTCACCGCAGTTTTCCCAAAAGATGGCATGGGATGCACATAAGTTTTAAAGTGTAAATCTCTGTCTTTTTTTTCTTCTCCTCCTTCTCTTTCTCCTCCTTCTTCCTGTTCTTCTCCTCCTTCCTCTCCTACGCCTCCTTCTTCTTCTTCCTAGTGTTCACAGACTGTAAACTTAAGTGGAAAATTTTGATTGTACCTCCACTCCTGGACTTTGGTCTTGATTGAGTACTTGATTTTTGCATGTACCTCAGTTTTACAGATCTGGCCTATTTATATGCAGACTGTTAATTCCTTGCCTCTCAGACAGATGCACTCCTATCTTTGAATGAAACACCCCTAACTGGCCTCCTACAACAGCCCCAGAACACACACAGGGTAGAAAAAGTGTAAATGAAGACCAAACTTGTGATGGGAGCTGATGTATTGCTGAGATCCCCCTTTATGGAATTAATACACAAGCTTCAGAAACACCTTTCGCTGAGAAAGTAGAGACGGACAGAGAGGATATATTGCAGGCAACATGTGACATCTAGATAAATAGGGACATATTTTCTGATTTTTTTATAAGAGGGATTTTCTTTTTTTTTTTTATAGTCCATGCCAAGTGGCGTTTGTAGTCATGTCATCCACAACCTTCTGTCTCGTGCATTTTCAGTCAACTCTGACACAGATGATGTTCCATGCCATGATGTCTGACTGTCCAGAATCTTTTCTCTCGGTCTCTCTCCGCCTCTCCTCTCCCTAGATCCCTGGTTCTCTCCCTGCTGTGGGTGATTTGGCTGAGATTTCGACAATGGTATCAAAAGCAGACCACTCAGAGGGCAATGGTAAATTACTTAAATTCCCTTGTAAAACCACAAACCGTCAAACAAATACTGGGTGGTTTGCAGTATCCCGTAAATGATTCTTCTTCTTCAGCATTCCTAGCCCTTCTGGTTCATTGCTGCAGATATTGCCCTCCTATCTCTCTGGTTGGCCGTCTCTTTTCAATTGGGGACACCAAGTGTTTGCAGGTCTGTCTGGATATTATCTCTATGTCTTCTTGGTCTGCCTGATATTCTCTCAATATGCCCCAGCCATTTCAGTCTAGTAGCTCTCATGATGGTGATTTAAACAGATTATGAATTTTGTTGTCGCTTCTCACTCTTCATTCCCGCTATTTGCATCTTTGATGTGTCCAAATTTTCATCATAAGACTCTGTTTTCAAAGATTTGTAATGAAGTAAAGAATACACAACTAAATATTGTTTGAACCTGATTATTTAAATTCAAAATAGGACAGCATTGTTTTAAACAACTCGTGATGAATCTTTCTAGCTTTGTTTACTGTTTCTGTTGTTGTGTTTTATTTTATGTTATCATCTTACTTATAATTTTTAATGTGTTTTCTGGTTTGCACTGTCTAAAATTATCCACCTGTCTCCAACAGAGGAAGTGGGCAAGCATCATGCTCAACTCTCCGATACAGGTGAGGCCCGTGAAGCTCAACACAAAGACCCAATGTATCGGCACCATCGTTATGGAAGTGGATTTCTTTGCCAAGAAAGGGTGAGCTACAGTTGATATGGTGTTGATTTTGTATGCTAATCATACTATCCCTGACTGGATGATGTTCAACCCCACCAGGACATCACACCGAGTGATAAACACCCCGTGACACAATGTGACACCATTCTGATGAGGATCATCCGGGGATAGGTTCTGGAAACCGGGTTCAACTCATAGGTTAGGTTATATTAGGGCCCCCGGCAACAGCCAGGGTGGAGCTTTAAAACAAAATATTGCATGCAACATTGGGACACAGTATTGTGCCAAAAAAAAAATATTCAAATTGTTAGAAATAAAATTAACCTAGGTTTTCCTTAGTTGCACTCTATTGTGTCCCACACTCCTCCTAAATTTACAGCCCCTAGCTTTATTAATCCTAATTTAAAATACAAAAGCTGGTTAAATGATTTATGGTTTCTGATAATGACAGTTTATACCATTTTCTTAGTAGTCTCCAATTATCGATGACCTAGATTTCTATCGTTACAACAATTTATGTATTCTGAGGTTTCCTGGACTAGCCAGAGACTCAAATAGTTTACATAATTAACTCTTCATGGACAGTCTTGCCCAGCTCTGATACAATTTTTCTTGTCGGATCTGTAGTGTGTTAAGTTTAAAAACGGGGGGTGGGGGGGGGGGAGAGCGGAAGGGGATTACTATAGAACAAAGTATTTTTGTTGGCATGCCTTAATAAAAAATGAAGATGTGTTGAAAGAAATTAACCCATAAAAGAACTGATTGCTGGCATGAGTATAAATGAATCTACCATCTTTGTTGGTAGGAGAAAGCTGAAATATGAGAATGGGAAAGTTGGAGGGAAAGTGAAGCTGAGGGTCACCAAAAGAGATTTAGGAATTTTGACATGGATGAACATCTTTATAAAAAATGATTGACAGTACAGAGACAGAACACTGAGGATAGACCATCAGCACTGATTCCACATGGTAGAGATAATGTTGATTGAGATGTCTAGCTGTTTATCTCAGAGAGATCAACCATCAGTATTGGAACTCTGTGCTGGCTGCTGAAGATGAAGACGGAGCACACATAGGAATGTGAGTGCTGTGATGTCAATTCTTGACTCACCTCAAGTCAACTCAACTCAGAGATCATTTTAATGATTGTGATATCCAACTATTTAGATTTAATAGTATTCACAAAAGGGTTTTATGGGAGTTGAATAGATCATGATGCAGACCAAGAAGACGACGGAAAGATAATATGTAGGCTGACCTACAGACACTTGGGGTTACCAGCTGGAAAGAGAAGGCTAGTCATAAAAATGAATGAAGGTGGGTGATATATGTAGGAATGAACCTCAAGGAATTCCAGTGAAATTTGACTAAAAAGTTCAACCAAATGGGGATGCAGAAAAACGTGCACAAACAACACACATAATGTAAAATTTGTGTTGTTTTATGCTCGTTTTTCTGCTTCCCCATTTGGTTGAACTTTTTAGTCAAACTTCACTGCAATTCCTTGTATTGGCTTGACTGCAGTCACCCCCATATTTTCAAAATTTTGTAGGAATGAACCTCACAGGCTCAGAGTACCGAAGAAGAAGATAGTAACTGCTTGCCTTTTTGAGACACCCTGTTTATATTGTTTGCTGGATTAGAGAACGTTGATGTGTTTTTTTATTCCAGCCAACAAGCCCTGACCATAGATAGTGATAAGATGGCTGCAGAATTCTCCATGTCCTTTGGAGGCAGAGCTTTTACTGTAGATGAGCCTCTAGTGTTCAGATATGACAAGAAACTGTTTGCTGCCAGGATCAAGGAGGTTGAAGGTTGGGCTCACTGTTTGCAATATGTTTTTGTGTGTGTGTGTATACAAGGCACATTTAGAAGGTAATGCCCCTACATTTTTTTTTCTCACAAACTGTGTGTGCAAGGTGTATGTAATTGGCTGACAATAAAACTCATTATGTCCTTTACACATCATAATTTTCTGTATACCATATTTTTTCATTATAAAACAGTATGTTTGTTTGGTAGACAGATTTATGTACAGATCATGTTTAAATTTATTTTACTAATTTTGGGCTTAAAAAAATAAGAATCATCTTATGGGGGGGGGGGGGGGGGGGAATCTTATTCATGGAAAAATATGGCAATATCTGTTCATTTCTAAACTTCGGTAAACTCTGTCAGAAGGTTCTGGTTTGTCCACTTCTGGATTTTGGTCTTGTTCCAGCACAAGTTGTGTGTGGACACATGTTTTTACAGATCTGGCATATTTATATGCAGACTGTTGGTTCCTCACCTCTCAGGCCGATGCATCCTGACTTTAAAAGAAATACCCCTATTTAGTCAGTTTTTATGTCAGAGGGACAGTATGTCTTTTTCCTGCCAAGTGGGGTCTTGGAACTCACAAGGGAAAATTGTATTATTTGAAAAGATGTACATTACAAAAATAACTGTTTGCACACATGAGATAATGAAGCTCAATTCAAAACTTCATCTGCAAAATCTAGCCAGTCATGAACATGTCTACAAAAACATGAACTCGTTGAGGGTCTAGGCTTCTTTGGAAGCTACGTTGCAGAAAGCTGAGGTTATTTTAACTATTGTTCTACACAATTTCAACCACTACGGGATCTGTAGCTTGCCAATGATCACATAGAGCTTTCAGCATTTTTGTTAAACATTTTTTAATTGTTGTATATTTGATCCTTATTTGCTAAGGCTAAACTTGCTATCCACTGTACCATGATCGGGGGAATATTATGACCTTTGTTTCCTTAGATCATTTATGGGATTCTTATGGGAAGAAAGGCAGATGAGGATGGGAACCAGCCTCCCCACCCTCCACTTCATATGTCATAGCCTGAAACATGTAAACCTCAAACACTTCACACACCAGTATGACAGTATCTGATATGGAAGTATCTTTACTTTAACTTTCCTTATTATGTTTTCAAAAGCACATCCATAATTCATATTCAGTCTGTAACCAAAATCAAGTTCTTGCTATAGTGTGGAAAATGTTCAAGTGATGCTTGTTTCAACATCTATCAATTGCTAAAGTGTAGAAAATGTTCAAGTGATGCTTGTTTCAACATCTATCACTTGCTATAGTTTGGAAACTGTTCAAGTGATGCTTGTTTCAACATCTGTCTTGTTTTATCAACAGTTATTGACTACACACATGTTGACTCTAAAGGAAAGCTAGCTGGAAAACCACAAGTGGTGAGTTATGTTTTTTTAACACTTTATTTTATTTGAAAACCATTTGTGTTGCTCAGGGCGTAATTATGTGCGTTTAAACAGGATTATTTCATAGTCATATGACAAGTAGTACTGACCAGTCAATAAAAAAGAGCGTGCTTATAGTGCTTATAGCTTATAGTTCTGATTTTGATCATTGAGAAAATGGCAGGGCTGATCCATACTCCTTCCAAAGAAGCTCGAAGAATGGTCATTCAGTTTCTTTCATCGAAGAATGTTGACCAGTAGACATTCACAGAAGAATCAAACGGTGTATGGAAACAAATATCTGTCGAAGACACAGTTACAGGCTTGTCATGAATGTTTAGGAAAGGATGTGAGTTCATGACAGATCTTTCACCGCTGGGTCAAGTGCTGATTATTGCAACAAATAAAGAACCACCGCCAAAATTGATGCAGCAGTAAAGATAAACCATTGTCAAAGCATAAAAAAAAATTTAATTTGTCAATTGGGACAATTTGAAAGGTTGTTCGTAAGAAATTGCAATATTGGAAGGTTTGTTCTTAATGTGTACTACAGATGTTGACCAATTACCAAAAGATGGAATACATGTAATGGTGTTTGAATCACTTGCTGCATTACAGAGCGGAGGGTGATACATTTCTCTTCTTACGCAGTGGCAGGTAAAGAATTATGGTATCACCACTTTTAGCCAAGGGCTGTTGTTAGCAGACTTTAAAGAAACTGGTGTCCACATAAACTCTACCCACAACTTGAAAACACTAGACAGACTGCATAAAGCCGTTAAGAATAAATGTTCTGGCATGCTTTCTCATAGTTTAATTTTACTGCAAGACGATGCTCATCTATTCATTGCAAAGATTGCAAACCACAGATACAAGAAAATTCATAATCCGTAAAAATTACTACTAAGTACTGACATCATGAGGATATATGAAGAGCATGATAGATAGACAAAAACTGTGCACACAAAAAAAAAAAAAAGTTGAAGTAAACCACAAGACAGATCAAGAAGACAGTTGAGAGGTAATAATATGGACGGACCTACAAACTCTTGAAATCACCAACTGGAAAGGAAAAGCCTGTTGATCAGATTAGTTGATGTTGGTGATATCTACAACAATGTCTCTGAAAGGCTCATAGAAGAAGAGACAGATTAAAAACTTTAATAAATAAAGTCAAACTGATGGAACATTTAAGTATCTTACGACTATTAGTCAACAAGCAGTTTTTGTGTTTCTGTTCATTGGTGTAAATATGATTTTCTGTTATCCTGTTATGAATGACTCATTCATTTCTGATTATGTAGGCCAACTTTGGTTTACTAACACCCAACTCTGTAATAGTGTTTGAGAAGTTGGAGGGATCCCTGATTGCATTCACTGGCAAGGCTAAAGGGTAGGTTCTGTGTTGTTGTCTTTGTTTCCTGTATTATTGTCTTCAGCACTTTTCTATCTTTGCAGACTATAATGTTATAGGGTAGTATAGCAACCACAGTCCATCTTCAAACCAGTTAAGTCTGTGGATTAAATTCCTCCTTTCCATAGCACCAAGCCTAGGCAGAATTGTCGAAACCAAATATTGCCTATACAGCATAATTCCTTTTTCAATTCCTAAAAGTAAGGTAAAAGTAACACTAATATGTTTATCCCTGTGTGGGTTTCAGGGGGCCGGGACCCCATTGTTACGAAAACAAGAATAGACCCACTGCCTCCCCAACAAGCATGTTGTAAGAGTCGATTCACTGGGGGCTTCCTTCAGAGTCAGAATGCATCTGCCTGAGAGGCAAGGAACCAGCAGTCTGCTTACAAATAAGTCACGAATGTAAAACGGTTGTGCACACAATACTCAGGTCCTGGAACAAAACAGAAGTCCAGAGGTGGACAAACAACCAGAACTTTCCACCAGAGTTTACAGCTGATAAACGCAAAGAAGAAGAAGACTAAAGTGTTTGAAACAAAGCAGGCTATAGAATCTGAAAATAAAGCATGCCGCAGAAGCTGCCAAATCAGAAAGATCAGTTCCCTGTGTGGGCTCTGAGGTTCCATCATAGGGAAAACAAGAAAAATTGATCTTGTTTTCAGCTCTACACAGCCTAAAATTGGTATCAGTAATGTCCTGGTAAGTAAAGGCGACCGGCGTGATACTGACCACATCACCCATCAAGTACTAATGGTCTATAAAAATATAGGTCAAGCCCTGTGTGCCAAATGCGCAAACGGTGTGTACAGGATCCTTGACATACTTTACTTACCACATGCCTGATGCACCACTTAGACCAGTAGGACCCTTTTGTTTTTATTATACAGTGGTTGGCTGGCGGAGGTAGAAGTTTGGACAGGACAGATATCCTGAATGCAGTCTTCTAGGGACTTTGAGATGAAGGAGTTAGAGACATTGAACCACCTGATGGAAGTGGTATTAAACGAGGATAAGCATGTAGAAACCGGTTGCCGGGTTAAGATAGAAGATATGCCAGGCAGCTCCTACTGGGTATGTTAAGCACGGAGGCACTGAGATGGCTGCTGTATTAGAGGATGGAGCGCATATGGATCAGACTGATGTGCTATGAGGTTGCAGGGTTAAGATATAAGATATGCCAGTCAGCTCCTACTGGGTAAGTTGAGCATGGAGGCACTGAGATGGCTGCTGTACCAGAGGATGGAGCGCATATGGATCAGACTGATGTGCTATGAGGTTGCCGGGTTAAGATATAAGATATGCCAGTCAGCTCCTACTGGGTAAGTTGAGCATGGAGGCACTGAGATGGCTGCTGTACCAGAGGACGGAGCGCATATGGATCAGACTGATGTGCTATGAGGTTGCCGGGTTAAGATATAAGATATGCCAGTCAGCTCCTACTGGGTAAGTTGAGCATGGAGGCACTGAGATGGCTGCTGTACCAGAGGATGGAGCGCATATGGATCAGACTGATGTGCTAGGAGGTTGCCGGGTTAAGATAGAAGATATGCCAGTCAGCTCCTACTGGGTAAGTTGAGCATGGAGGCACTGAGATGGCTGCTGTACCAGAGGACGGAGCATAAGTTGATGTGCTAGAATGTCAGTACGGACAACAAATAACAAGTAACAGGTTTTCATTATGCCATCTTTTGATCTGTGTTATTTCATGTATTACAGAAAATCAACTTACCAGTCCATTATAAACCCAGACTGGGACTTCACCAAGTTGGGCATCGGGGGTTTGGATGAGGAATTCAGTGGAATTTTCCGGCGAGCTTTTGCTTCCAGAGTTTTTCCACCAGAGGTTATTGAGCAGTTAGGTGAATGCAGCTTTTTTAATTATCAATATTTTGAAGCATGCTGCTGTAAATAAAATATAAAGACGGGTATAAAATTGAAATAAGAGTGATAAAACAATCATTTTTAGAAAAAAACTAAAATAGAAAAATATATTTCCATTACTTCCCTTAATTGGTCAGTTTTATTTTTATGAGATTCTATCCACAGTTATATTGTGTCTTCTTTGCATGTTTTCTTATTATTCTGCATATGGTCTTAGAAAAACAGTTGTATTGTGGTTTACAGCTAGGCTGTGATTTTTGCACTTTTTGACCCGACAGACGATTGGCAAACTCTTAATTATTTGCTTTTAACAACATACTGGAGGCAGAGGGAAACCGAGAGAACATTTGCTGGACAGTTTGACATCATGGCATGGAGGATCATCTGTTTCACAGTTGATTAAAAGTACCCGAGACAGAAGGTTGTGAATAGACATGACTACCAATGCCACACGGCATGGACTCTTAAGAAGAAGAAGGACATTCTTGTTCAGTTACAGTGGATCTCTTCTTTTGTTTTTTCCCCCTCCTGCACAACTTTGACCCCAGATGAGGAATATGTTATTGTAAAGCTGTCTACTTTTAACTGTCTGTTTTTCCATTTACTGCTAAGTTAAAGAACTCATTTGTGAAACATGACATTTAATAACAAGTTGAAAAGTTGATGTTGATACTTGGCATTTACTGACACGTTAAAGTTGTAATGTTCACACAGGACATTTACTGACAAGTTAAAGGGGCTGTCCTGGGAAAGTAAAGACAGCCGGCGTAATGCTGACCACATTACCCACCGAGTGCTGATGGTCTGTAAAAATATGGGCGCTCTTCCCATATGCCCGTTACGCCTAAAGGCGTGGAAGGGATCTTTACTTACTTTTTTTTTAACTAAAGTTGTAAAGTTCACACAGGACTTTTACTGACAAGTTAAAGTTGTAATGTTCACACATGACATTTACTGACAAGTTAAAGTTGTAATGTTCACACATGACATTTACTGACAAGTTAAAGTTGTAATGTTCACACATGATATTTACTGACATGTTAAAGTTTTAATGTTCACACATAATATTTACTGACACGTTAAAGTTTTAATGTTCACACATGACATTTACTGACAAGTTTAAGTTGTAATGTTCACACATGACATTTACTGACAGTTAAAGTTGTAATGTTCACACATGATATTTACTGACAAGTTAAAGTTTTAATGTTCACACATGACATTTACTGACAAGTTAAAGGTGTAAAGTTCACACAGGACTTTTACTGAAAAGTTAAAGTTGTAATGTTCACACATGACATTTACTGACAAGTTAAAGTTGTAATGTTCACACATGACATTTACTGACACATTAAAGTTTTAATGTTCACACATGACATTTACTGACAAGTTAAAATTGTAATGTTCACACATGACATTCACTGACAAGTTATAATGTTCACACATGGCATTCACTGACAAGTTAAAGTTGTAATGTTCACACATGACATTCACTGAGAAGTAAAAGGTCTCATCTAAAAATATGAATTTTAGTGACAAGTTAAAGATCTGATCTTGACATGTGACATTTATTGACAAGTTAAAGTTATAGCTGGATAGATGACATTTACTGAGAAATTGTAGATCTGATATTGGTTTATGACAGTTACTGACAAGTTGAAGATATACTCTTGATACATGTTTTTTTTTTTTTTTTCTGCCAACAGGTATGAAACATGTGAGGGGAATTTTGCTGTATGGTCCCCCTGGTACAGGCAAAACTTTGATGGCCAGGTGGGTAACTGTGTACAGAAAACCCTTGATTGAAGAGATGTATTCTTTTTGCACCAGCCAACTCACCATGTATGATGATTAATAACAGGTCTCTGATGCTAACCTGACTGTGTGACCTGGAAGTAAAGTCTGACGAAGAGTGTCTGTGCTATCTTTTAGGTCAAGATAGGAGACATTATAACCAGCTTTGCATACCTCAGGTGTTTGCTACTTTATTTTATTCTGTCTGAACTGATAGTTTTCTCTTCTCATCCGTAACATTTTAGTGCTAACTCATATATGCCCAACTGCTCTAAATGAGACTACATGCTATTTAAAAAACAAATTCCCCTGGTGGGTTCCAGGCCTTATTTGAGGGGGAGGGGGATAAACTCGCTGCTCTTTAACATGTATGTCATAAAAGGCGACAGAGTAAGAACATGATTAAGGATATGCTGGGCCAATAGGCTAAGATATCACAGACTAGCTGTAAATCACAGTACAGTGCTCCACTTATTCTTTTTTTAAGGGCAAATTAAGAAGAGAAAAGAGTTAATGGAGATGATTGTTGAGGTTTGTGATTATCTGTGCCACCCAGTTTGGCACACAATGAAGATGATCATGATTACTACACCATTTCTGTCATTAATTCTGCAAATAACTCATTTAGAAATGATCTAAATTTCCTTGATGAATTCTGTGTTTAGGCAAATTGGTAAGATGTTGAATGCCAGAGAGCCACAGATTGTCAATGGCCCACAGATCTTAGATAAATATGTCGGAGAGTCCGAAGCCAACATCCGGAAATTGTTTGCAGCTGCTGAAGAGGAAGAGAAACGAGTAAGTGATCTTTCCTTCCTTCGGTTCTGAAACAATTCACAGTGGTGTGGTTAGTCTGCTTGCCTGCCAAAACATTTGTCTAGGCTCAGTTCTCAGCTGTGAAAGAGGTTTTTTTCTCTCTTACTTTGGGGTCATGTTAGCCTCAAAAAGTGAATACTGGATATTTGTTCACCTGGAAAAAGGTGGAGCAGTGAAAAGAGCTGGTCACTTCATCTCATCATCTCATGAGCTAGACTGGGGGTGGGCTAACTATGGCCTGCAAGCCAAAAATGTTCCGCCTAGCAATTTTTACTGGCTCATGAGACTAGTGTAAAATTACTATATAATTTGGCCATTGAGCTCGCAGAGTGGCAGAACAAATAACTAGTTTGTACAAACACATCTAGGAGTATATAGAAGGGCTTTAGTAAGTGAGTGTTTTGGACGAGAGGCATAGCAAGGGATTGTAAACTTTATTTATCCCACAAAAATATAATGTTATGAAGAAATCTGGGTTTTATGTTTATAATTGATTTTTTTCTATGTGGCCTCTAACCAAGATGGTGATTCTAAACTTGACCCGCGGACTGAAAAGGTTGCCCACCCCTGGCCTAGACTAAGTACAGCCCTAACTTGTTATATGCTTGCTTGATGGCTATGAGTTTGAATCTCAATCTAGGTGTGATTTTCTTTTACTGACCAGGGCTTTAGGGTTGACCAAGTGTAAAATTTATACTAAGAAAGTTCTTGAGAAGTAAAAGTGACTGGCATAATGTTGACCCCATCACCAGTGAAGCACTGGTCAACTAAAGAAATCTAGCACCAGATATCTAGTATTCTTTACTGTGGGGGGAAAAAAGGTCCTTTATTACTTGAATGGCTTTAGTAGTTAACACTTTACACCAAGATAGTATCTGTGGCTTAGGCATCACGAACACGCATCATAATGCCAGGGTGTCAGGTTTGATCCCAGCTGTGGACGGTTTGTCTTGTATTGGTTTCAACAGTGGTACAGAGAGCCGATCTTTCAGTACGTGGCAAACAACTGAATATAAAAGATGCCTAGAAAAACTACAATAGCCAAAGAATGATGAAGTTGGTTCTGCAATGTCCTGTTAAGAACACACAACTAGCATCCAGATAACAGCATCAGTTGTAGGGCTACTTATGCTGTTCTAATGCATGAATCATACAGGCATTGAGGTGAATTAGTGGAACAGGATGATGTGGTTTATGTTGCATGGAAGGGAAATGTCAGGAAGGGATGGAGATAAATGAGAAAAGGATTGCATGTAGGTGGGGAGCTGAGTGTCTGGGAATCAGCACATTAAAAACACTCTGTGGCAACAACCATCCTGAAATCCTATGCTCTAATTGTAGAAGACTTTTCTTAACACGAGCAGGTCTTGCTAGTCACACTCACAAATCGTAATGGACTGATTCTCATGTCTCCTCTCTACAGTACACTGTCTCTTCTGGAACCCCTAGAAGACATTCTCAGCCATTTCATTTTGAATTGTCTCCAGTGTGTTCATTGTTCATATAAAGATTATCTTCCTCGCACATCAGACATGATCATAAGTGCTCCCCCTCCCCCGTGTGGGTTCCGGGGCCCCGTTGTGGGGAAAACAAGAATAGACCCACTGCCTCCCCAAAAGCGTGTCGTAGGAGTCGACTAATTGGAGAGCTTCCTTTGAAGTCGGAGTGCATCTGCCGGAGAGGCAAGGAACCAACAGTCTGTATTCAAGAGAATTAGATCTGTAAAACTGATGCACTGGCAACACTCAGGTTCTGGAGCAGGACTGCAATTCAGTAGTGGACGAGCAACTAGAACCTTCCGCCAGAGTTTACATCTGGTGAACGCTAAGAAGAAGAAGAAGATAAGTGCTCCTATCTCCTCTTATGTATGTTTCCAAGTGTTTTTAGACTAACAATTCCCATTCTAATGTCTCCAGTGTAATCTTGGAAGAAAAATACCATTTATCACCAGACTTCCATCATAATATTCAGATATTCTTTTTTAGTTTCCAAGACAAGATTCTGTTTATGAACCAGTTTTCATCAGCGTTCCACATCTTTTAGAATTTCATCATCTTTTTTTTAAATTTCCATGATGATTTTCTTTGGATATCCAAAGAAATAGTAATCAGGTTTATGAAACCTATAGATAATATATTCAAGTGACTTGTAGATGACAAAATATGCAGTAGTATATTTGTTGTTTGACAGTGTGGGTCTGCTAGTGGACTTCATATTATCATCTTTGATGAGATCGATGCCATCTGTAAAGCCAGAGGGTCAGTGGTAAGTAACATCTTATTTTTTTAATGCAGCTTAAATAAGTAGATGTTTTTTAAACATATTTGTTTCGGAATAGAATTCACATAATATAACATGGCCTGCCTGCAGCCAGAGTTCTCAGTGACTAGGAACAAAAAGCACATTGAAAGTTCCAGGTATCTATGAGCAATAAAAATAAGCGAGAAAAGGTACACAGAGGTAAAAAATGCAGAATAGTCCAAGCAAATTATGTATTTCAGAATGTGACCAATTCTGTGCCAGTTTTCACTTTTCCCTGTCTGTGGAAGTCAGTCATATTGAGAATGTTATACAGTTCAAAGTTAAATTTGAGAGGATCAACTCATTTGCACCAGGTTTTTATCCCATATGGCTCAGTCTCTCTCTGCAGAGTGCCTAGCCACATGCCGAGAGCATCACACAAAGCACAAACGTAGCTCCGTAGATGATCCCCAAGGGTTCCCTCCCAAAAATTGCGCTTATTAACTGAATCACACATCTGTATAGAACCCATGATATTCAGAGGGCAAGGTAAATGGCAAATACTATGTGGACAAAGAAGAGAAGAAATACTGGTGGGATAATGACTGATAGATTTGGCAGCCCTGATCACGCTGCCTTCGCAATGTTTTAATCGAGGAGGCCCATTCTGCAGTTACTGCCTCCACCTCCATGTTGCATCACTCAGAATAAAAGTAATGGAGAATGAGAAGCAGCAATGAACATAATCTTTTTAAATCACCATTAAATTCTGGCATTATGAGGGCTAATAGATTGCATTTGTTGGGGCCAAGGCCAGCTCCATCAGTAAGGACAAACAGGTCTACGGAAATTCCCGTTTTGTTAGGCTGGTCCACACCGGTCTGTGCTCACCATTCTTATTGAGTAAATTTATACACAAATTAAACTATACTTTAATTAACTTGCAACATATTTTTTTGAATGAATTATCATTATGGCGATGAATAATTGAGCTGTTAGAAAATAGAATAATAATAATTAAAAAAATATTCAATAAAATATGTTGCAAGTTACTTAAACTGTAGTTTACTTTGTGTATAAATCTACTCGATAACAATGGTGATCGGCCTAATAAAACAGGAATTTCCGTAGCCTGTTTGTCCTTACCGCTGGAGCTAGCCGTGGTTGGGGCAGATAGAGAGAATGGCAGATGACAAAAACTGTTCACCGAAGAGCTGATTAGGAGAAGACCACAAAGCAGACTAAGAAAACAGTGGAGAGATAAAATACAGACGTACAAACACTTGAGTCACCAGCTGGAAAGAAAAAAGGTCAGTCACCGAGGGAAAAGGAAGCATGTGATATCGGCAACAGTAAACCTCAGGGGCTTGAAATGCCGAAGGAGGTAGAAGAAGAACATCATTTCATATCTCTTTTTCTTTCGCTTTGTCTCTCTCTCCTTTTTTTTCTTTTTGTCTCTTACAGACACACACATGCACACAGGTTTCTTCTGGGCACCCTCACTTCGTCAATCCCTTTATTTTGCATTTTAGTGCCTGTGTATTGATTCTCTGCTTGCTTCTTCTCAGGATATGTCAAGTATATTGCTATCTTCTTTTTCTAATAACTGGTGCTAATGGTGGTTGCCCAGTAATTTCTCTTATTTCTTCATCCCTCTTTGAATTCACTCCATTCTATGTTCACTATTTTCCTCAGACTTTTGTTTTCAAATGCATTATACTCAGAACAGCAGAGCTGTAATGTTCTGACGTGTTTCTTCACAGGCAGGAAACACTGCAGTTCATGACACCGTGGTCAACCAGCTGTTGACCAAACTGGACGGTGTGGAGCAGCTGAACAACATTCTTGTCATAGGTGAGTACTTTTACAGTTTGGAAAATCCTCTCATCAGTTTTAGGAGACATTGTGGCAAAGTGATTAGTGCTCCTACCTGTCATGGCTGTGATTCTAGGTCAGCTTTGCGGTGGCAGGTTTATATTTTCTGACCAGTACAGCTGATAAATTGACCAGACCGAAGTTTCTCTACTACTACAAGTTGCAGGCATGGGGAATACACAAGCTCTGCTAGCATTGTAATATGGGGATGCATAAGCTTACAATAGAACATCTAGGAGGTAGGCTAGAGGAAGACTAAGAAATATATGGATAAATGGTTTAGCTCAAACCCGCAAAAAGAAAGAACAAATCCATCACCAAAGCCACCCGAGAAGCACAAGACAAATACAGAAAAACCACTTCACTGGGCTACAATCTGGTAACAATAAGACAGCAAAAAAAGAAGAAGACTTTAATTCTGTAATTGTATTATTTCAGGAATGACCAACAGGAAGGACATGATTGACGAAGCCTTGATCAGACCAGGCAGACTGGAGGTCCAGATGGAGATTGGTCTTCCCAATGAACATGGCCGTGTTCAGATCCTCAACATTCACACAGAAACTATGCGATCTCATGACAAACTGGCACCAGATGTGGACATTCAGGAGCTGGCCTCACTGACCAAAAACTTCAGCGGTGCTGAGATTGAAGGTCTGGTCAGGGCTGCCCAGTCTACAGCCATGAATCGGCTGATTAAGGTGTGTGTGTGTGGCATTTTAGTTGACAGTCTCTTCTTCTGCGCATTCACCGGCTGTTAACTTCAGCAGAAAGTTCTGGTTGTTCATCCATTTATAAATTTTAGTCTTGTTCCAGAACCTGAGTTATGTGTGCACATTCATTTTACAAATCTGGCTTATTTGTATGCAGACCATTTGTTCCTCGCCTCTCAGGCAGATGAACTCTGAGTTTGAAGGAAATGTCCCTAATTAGTCGACTTGTACGAAATACTTGTTCAGGGGCATTGGGTCAGTATTGTTTTTTTTTTTTTAAATTTATTTAGTTTTTCTTTTTGTGTTGTTGGTTGTTTGTTTGTTTTGTCCCCCACCATGAGGACCTGGAAACCACATGGGGAAGTTGACACATCATCCTCATTTTACATCTCTACATAAGTGCTCAGATCTTCCTGACTGCTCATTCAACCTTTCAGTCCCATTACTTTTAGTCCTCAAAGGTATTCTGTATATCCCTCAGTTTCTAGCAACACTAGTTTTGTGTTAATTAATAGGTTTTCTTGTTTTGGTGGTCTCCTAAATAGTGCTGTTATCTGGCTTAACTTGTTACGACTTGTTTCTCTGACACCTTATTTATTTTAGCAGTTCTAGCGCAGTTAGAAATTCAAGCAGTAATCATTCATACAAGTTCTGTGACTATTCCATAGAATGCAGAATGTTTAAAGTTGAAGTCGAGAGGATCGACTTCATTGCATCGGGTTATTCCCATATAGCTCAGTCTGTCTTTGCAGAATGGCTAGCTGCCTGCCAAGAGCATCGCACAAAGCACAAAATTCATAGCTCTAGCAAAAAAACTACACTCATGAACTGAAAAAAAAAACGTCTGTGATACTAACTCAGGTCTTTGCCATGGAGAATTTAAATTCTTGATCTCCAGGGCACACGACAGACCACTTAACTATTCACCACAGAGTAAGCACAAAGACGTGTGTACTGACAATGCTAGCCTCCTGTGCATTTCCAGTAAATTTAGTGAAATTTCTCATCATCAGAAGCTCTCAAATCCACCTCAGTCTGTGTAGCATTCATGCCCTTGCTTACATCTTAATTTTGTGCAGATCCAGCCAATCTGTCTGCCTGTTTATTACCCACCATGCCTTCATAGCCTGGAGAAAAGAACAACTAATGCCAGGGTGGTAGGTAATGAACAGGCAGACAGATTGGCAGGAACTGCACTACTGGGGGGTGAATTGATACATGACATGGCAGATGTGGTCTAGGACCTTTGGAAACAAACAATGGAATCAGTAGAGAAACAAGAATATTATGACCTGGAGAGAATGAGGCACCTGGGTGTAACCAGAGGGTCTGGGCGGCTTACTTCACTCATAGGAAAGGCAAGACAGACATATAACCAGATTGTGACCAGTACCATTAGTATTGGATCTCTGCGCTGGCTGCTGAAGATTAGGACAGAACACACATGGGAATGCCCCGAGTGCTGTGATGTCAATTTTTGACTCAAATCAACTCAGGAGACAGTGGGTCTATACTTGTTTTTACCCCCCCCCCCCCCCCCCCAAACCACATGGGGAAGAGCCATTCAGAACTTGACTATGTGGTTTCTTTGTGTATCTCCCTAGGCAACCAATAAAGTGGAGGTGGACACTGAGGCCATTGAGAAGCTGAAAATCACCAGAGCTGACTTCCTGCATGGCCTGCAGCATGATATCAAACCTGTAAGTAGAATACAACATGTTAGTTTGATTCAGGGTTGCCAGATACAAAACTTCATTTTATGCCAAACCATGACCCAAAATATGCCAGAAAATGCCAAATAAAGTATAACATTGTACTCACTTCACATCAAAAGCTCTAGATTGAATTCTTCACTGTCATCCTCACTGGAATAAGTGGAAGACACGGCGTAAATCTTTTCGGATGTAAAATCTTTAAGCATTTTCTCAGATGGGATGAAGTCTTTGCAACTCATCTATAATGATGGCATACTCTTATTCAGAAAAATCATCAATAAGTTCATCCTTAAGTGCAGGCGATAACGTATTTTTTTATTAGGTGTGAACATTTTGTTATATGCAACTGTATGGGCTTCAATGTACTCCCCTGAGCATGCGCTCTCATGATTTCACTTAGATGATCAATTGTGCGTATTGCACAATGGCAGGTCATGCTTACAGCAAGTTGCAACTCTGCTGCCTTTAACTTTATCATTACTTTGCCTAGGAGTCATTGTTGTAATAAACAGTGACTGGCTTTTTAACAAGAGTTTTCATCCTGTGTTTTTCTGATTTTTCATGATTTGATATGCTACTAATTCTTGGTGCAACAGTGCACTGACACAGTTTACAATATGCTGCCTCTGATTCGTCTGAAGATCTTTTGAGCCGTGGGTATGTTTCTTCCAGTTACTATTATACTTGCGATGTCATAGGATGCTTTCCATTTTTTTGGATGTCGTGGCCATTGGTAAAAGTAATAAAATCTATCACAGATAGAACTAGGTCTATATCCTCTCTATTTTCTGTCCTCGAGTAGTTTCTGAACAGTCTGAATCACTTGGCATCAATTGTGGGTTTTGGTTTTTTATCCTGCATTTATTCTAGTAAATTAACATAAATTACAGAGGGCCTTGGTTTATCGAAGTCACAATCTATTTAGGAAGACAACAAATACAATAAGAAATGGCACGAATCACCATTAGTCCGTACCAGGACATCACAACAAAGTCAAACTGAAATAAAGATAACTGTAGGTCTACATTGCTTTTAGTAAATCTGTGTGTTTCTAACGGAAGAACCGTGAAGAAAATGTGAGCACATCTTGATAAGATAAGCCAGGAAATACCCAAATATGCCAAAATACGCCAGTTCTTTGTCTTATGCCAGTTCAATTTCAAATATGCCAAATTTGTGGAATCTGGCATCAAAAATGCCAATATGGCAACCCTGGTTGGATTTTTTTTTTTTTTAGAGTGTCATAGACCAGACCCAGCATTTTTTGGCTGTTTCTCGTTTTACTAGGAAATTATATATTCACTAGTTACTGGGCAATATTGCGTTCAGTAGGTTGCCATTGCTTTCTGCACTGGCGACATTCATAGCATTGTCAGAATCAGCGGGAAGTGGTTTTCTGCCAAATCACCTGCAGCTAAAACGAACCGAAGAAGCTGCTTTAGTGTAGAGACTAAGCGCTCACCTGCCAGCCCAAAAGTCTTGGATTCAAATCTACGTCAAGTCAGATTTTGTCCAAAATTGTTATGAGCTCCCAGTTCGACTTAGCCTAAAATGGGTACGAGCTATGTCCTGGGAGATACTTGTGGCCACTGTGGTGTTGACCAGATCACATCACCAACAGGTCTGTAGAAATAGGAGTCTAGCATAATAGGTCAGGAGCAGCACTGGAAAAAAAATGGATCTTTTACTTTCATATTGGAATTATGAAACTGTCTACATCTTCCCGAAATCACAAAAGTCAACAAGTAGAACACAAGCTTGTGAAGAATTAAAGGTTTTAATTGTTGATTTCTGGGTTTTATGTAGAAGCATGTAGACACATCTCTTAGGGAACTCAAAAGTAAAATGTAGGGTGTAGCATGTTAAGGGCTTTGAATCCATGTCAAGGCAGTTTTAAAATTCACCCGGGCTCCTAGGTTAAAATGGGTACGGGAAATGTCCAGGGAAGTAAAGACAGCCAGCTTGATATTTACATATAATCCAATGATGCGGATTGGTTTATAAAAAATGGCTCTATCACCCTATACCCCATGAACAGACTCCTTTACTGAACTAACAGTCTAGAGGTAACCCCTTTTAAATGAAAATTAAGGCATCAGGAAGTTGGTTAGGCTGCATTATTTTGCCGAGCCTGCAGAACAGTGGTTTTCTAGGTTTGCATACCCTAGTCTTCAAGTGTCTTACAAGGCAGCAGGTTTTGTGTCTCTCTTTGGTTACTCTCCCTTTGGTTATCCAACATGGCCATAGCAGTAGCTAAGCTGCCACTGACAGAGCTCTTAGGATCACTGGAACATCTTCTGCATTCTCCCTTAAAAGGGCAGATGTATAGTTGTGTTGTGGTTTACAGCAAGCCTGTGATATCTGAGTCCTTCAGCCCAACACATCCAATTTCAGCAGACCCCTTATCGTCACCTTTTACAGCAAGCTTTGGGGAGGGGAGGGGGCCATGGGTCTGTTCTTTCTCCATTAAAATAGGGTCCAGAAACCCATACAGTGAATTGGAGCATCCACAGCCTGCTGCTAAGGTGGAAACACACCAGAAGGGAAAAGTAAGACATCTAGCTCTCTCTGCTTGCCCAGTGGAGACACTTGGAAAGGTCAAACCCCCCTCCCCAAATGAAATAAACAGGGCCTGTAAAACCACAAGAGTTGGTGATGGTTTGAAACCAGTAGTAAACTCCATGGATCGTCAACTCAACACCTGCATTAATGAACCGAAGGACAGTGTACGTGAAACAACCTACAGCCTTCAGTGTATGATGAGAGTTAACTACTGTATCATAAAGAGAGATATTTGTGTTTGTAATGTAGAAAGAGGTGGACAAAGTAGAGAAGAAATACTGACATTTTAAAAGATCTGAACATCACGGAAGATTGGCTAATAAACAGCATCTTGTCTCGGAAGCTGAAATATTTTATTAATCATAACAAGCCGCATACAGATTGGAGAAAATAATAGCAGAAAGCATGGTACCAGGAAGGAATGGCAAGGACTGACCAACACGAAGATGGGCACAGGATATAAGGTGACTCTTTGAATATGAAAGTACGTAATGTGGAAGATTTGGTGAGAGACCGATTTTATTACAGGCGGACTGTGCTGAGAGCGACATTCTGCAAAGGATTTGCTACATAGTGATGAATGGAGAGAGAAATGTGAATGAGTGAGTAAGTGAGGCTTGAGTATCCAATATATTCAAAACCCCCAAGCTGTCTTGTCCATCTGCATGCACATAAGTATCACTTCTGAGCAACAAACACAGAAAAGAAAGAGTTTATGTTTTATTGTTCTCAAAATTCCAGGCCTTTGGTAGCAGCAAGGAGGAACTCGATGTGTTCTTGTGTCAGGGCATTCTCACCTGGGGTGAACCGGTCAGTCGTGTGTTGACCGACAGTGCCCTGGTCATTTCTCAGATCAAGAACAGCGACCAGACTTCCCTTATTACCATGCTGTTGGAAGGTGAGTAGTAGTCAGGCACCCAGCAGAGGAGCTTCATTATTGTACCCTACTGATCCATGTGGAACATTGGGTTGTAATAGTCGCTGCCCGTCAAATTTTATTTTAGACTGGTTAGGTGAGAATCTTCTGGAGAGCTGAGATAAGTAAGACGCATTGATATCCATAGCATTTAAATGCAGACAAAGACTTGGGTCTGTCAGAGTGAAGCACATATAGACTTGCCTCCCAACCCGGTACCAAAGTACCATCTCCAGAGAAGCTGCATTACAATTCCTTCTACAATTTAACAGATCAGTGTGACATACAAGACTAATATGTGAGGTTTGCATATGAGGAAAAGCATTTACACCATGAAACAAGCTGGGGACCAAATCTGTAGGTAGACTGCATCAAGGGAAGGTGTTCCAAGGTCTTATCCTATGTAAGTCCTGGTTCTGATCTTGTGACAGTCCATCTCACTTACTTTTGATAAACAAAATGTGGTGTACTGATTTGCACTCATATCTGGATGGCTTAGCCACTTGGAATCTGGTGAGACGAAAACACTGACCTGATCTTTAATTCTAATGATCATATTTGATGTCAAAACATGAAAACCTAAGCCTGTCAGAATAGAACATGATGTTGATGAATCCTGTTCAAGGCATTTTGTATGTAGTTTACTGAGTTTTGATTTGAGAATCAAATATTGCAACCCAGTGTTCAACATGGATCAGTAGCGTACAATAATGAAGCTCCTACATTGGGTGCCTGACCAGTTGATCGCTGCCTTCCGCTGGATTGAGAATCAGCTGTACACACATGCCGTGATTGTTGTGACTCACAGAGGATCTTGAGAAAGGTGAAGACAGGCATGCTTCATGCAGTGGCAAGCATCACTCAGAGGTCCTGGGTTGTTAGCATCTTTTGGATATTTTCTCCAGGTCATGCCAGTGTGTTGGGAAATGAGCAGGCAGATAGACTGGCTGGCTCTGCACCACTTGGTGGTGAATTGATGTATGACAAGCTAGATATTGTGAGGGCCCATTGGGAACGAGTGAACAGTGCGGATGCGCAGATAGATCATTACGGTCTGAGGAGAACGGCACTGCGAGGAGTTACTAAGGGGTGTGGCCGACGCTCAACACTCAGGGGAAGGATGAGACGGATATACGATCAGACGGCTACTGGTGCACTTGGAATTGGAACATCGCTTGCTGCTGAAGATGAGGGACAGAGCACTTATGGGAGTGTCCCGAGTGCTGTGATGTCGATTCCTATTTCAACATTCAACATTTGAGTTTTGACAGAGATACATCGTAATTTGCAAGTTTGCAGTGATTAAATTCCACTACCATTGATTTCTGAGTTTAGAAAGGAGAAGGAAACATTTGCAGTACAACCTCCTTAAAGAGGTACTTTAATACTAAGTTGAGAAGAAGGGGAAAAAACCACTATTACAATCCCACTTGAAGAGATGTAAACCCTTTTGAAGATTCATTGCCTTGAATTGGTCTGGCCACTAATGAGTTAAAACTCAGTCTTCCAGAAGGTTGACAGATATCTACAACAAATTGAATATATATTGGTGCCTCATTGTGGGACAACAAGAACATACCCGCTCACCCCCCCAGAAAGCATATTTTAAGAACCAACTAAGGGTTTCCTTCAAAGTTGGAGTGCACCTGCCTGAGGGGCCGGGAACCAACAGTACACCAGATCTGTAAAACAGATGTTGCAAGCAACACTGATATTCTCTCAAGCAGGAGTCGAGCACGGATGATGACACAGAACAATAGTGACCTCAGGCGTGGAAATACTAGAGACAGAAACTGGCATGGGCCTGCTGATCTCACCAGCCAGCCTTTATTTGGTTGTAAAGGAATTGTTACATGATTCTGCTTCTTTTTTGTTCACCAGCTGTAAACTCCGGTGAAAAGTTCTGGTTGTTTGTCAGAACTTGAGTTTTTGTGTGCACATCTGTTTTACCTGGATGGCTTACTTGTATGCAGGCTGGATTCTTTGCCTCTCAGGCAGATGCACTCCGCCTTCGAAGGATACACCCCTTCTTCTTCTTTCGTTCGCTTGAAATAAATTATCTATGTCTGCAATATTGTTTCTAGTATGAACTTCACTGTCTTTTGTGATTCACTCATCGACCCGTAAAGTTTGATTTGCACCGATGTTTCCCTTGGCCAAAAGTTTTACCTTGATATGTTGTATTTGGGACAGTCTTGGAGGACATGATTTGTTGTCCCAGGTGCCAATCCACATGTGCACGTTGCTGATTCACTGATGTGCTGATTTAAAATTGTATGTACATGTGGCTGTGAAGTCGATTGTGTCTTGTTCGTAGAATAATAACTTGCTCTGTTCTGTCAATAAAATGGTAATCATCTTGTGCCGGTTTTTGTGGCTTTCTGATTGATTTGATTATTCTCTTCTTTTGCTGATAGACTGGTGGAGACACCTCTAATTAGTCAATTGTTTTGACATGCTTGTTAGCGGGGCAGTGGGTCTGTCTTCTCCCCTCCCCCCCCCCCCCCCCCCCCCCCCCCCACAAATGGGGCCCAGAACCCATGTGGGGATACTGTTGATTGACTCTCTTGATTGTTGTGATAATATATTAATCTGACAATCACCAGGTCCTCCAGGGGCAGGTAAAACTGCGCTAGCTGCCAAGATTGCCAAAGGTTCGGATCTGCCCTTCATGAAACTGTGTACACCGGAGAATATGATTGGATACACAGAAGCAGCCAAGTGTCAAGTCATTAAGAAGGTTGGGGAAACTTAAATGTTGAGGAGAATGTTGTAATGTAATGTTGAGGAGTGGGTTGTGGTGAGTGTTGTCAAATGGTGAGGAGAGTGTTATGGTGAAATCTTGGGAATGTGAAGTGTTGAGGAGAATATTGTGTTGAGATGTTGATTAGAATGTTGTGGTGAAATGTTGAGGAGAATATGTGGTGAAATGTTGAGGAGAATATGTGGTGAAATGTTGAGGAGAATATTGTGTTGAGATGTTGATTAGAATGTTGTGGTGAAATGTTGATTAGAATATTGTGTTGAGATGTTGATTAGAATGTTGTGGTGAAATGTTGAGGAGAATATTGTGGTGAAATGATGGGATCGTTGTGAAGTGTTGAGGAGAATATTGTGTTGAAGTGTTGAGTGAAATTTTGAGGATAATGTCTTGGTGAAATTTTGAAGAGAATGTTTTGCTGAAATGTTGAGAATGTTGTGGTGAAATGTTGAGGAGAATGTTGTGGTGAAATGTTGAGGAGAATGTTGTGGTGAAATGTTGAGGAAGATGTAGAGTGATGGGAATGCAGGTTTTAATTTGTGTTGGAAGCTTAGTGGGATATATATGAGCAGTTTTTTAGAGTTATGGTAGTAGTTGTTTAAATTGTATATTTTGTAATGGTCTTCATTGTAGATCTTTGATGATGCCTACAAGTCTCCTCTCAGTTGCATTGTTATGGATGACATTGAAAGGCTGCTGGGTAAGTTGTTGTATTTATTATCCTTAAAGATGTTGGTAAACCTGTGTTTCCTTTTTTCTCTCTCCCTTTCATCTTCCTATGGAGCTAGGACCCTCAATCAGATCATGCCAGATCCCTCATGTAGTGATATTGTATTAGCCAGATGCTGGCCTGAAAGTCTACGGTTCAAAACATATCAGGGTGAATTTATTTTTCCAAATAACCTTGGCACTAAGGTCGACCCTGCCTAAAATGGGCACTAGGTAATGTCCTGGGAAGTTCTTCTTCGCATGCTGTAAACTTGGGAGGAAAGTTCTGGTTGTTCATCCACTTCTGGACTCTAGTCCTGTTCCAGAACCTGAGTGTTGTATTTAAAGTAAAAAAAGTAAAGGACCCTTTTCCACGCCTTTAGGTCTATAGGGCATATAGGGCTAGACCTATATTTTATAGGCACCAATCGGCACAAGATAGGTTATGTGGTCAGCATCACGCCGACCGCCTTTACTTCCTGAGACTGCAGCTGGTACCCACTTTTTGAAAAAAAAGTCCAGCTCCGCCAGGGAGCGAACCCACGACCTTCCAATCCGCGGTAAGCATCTAGCCGCTCTGCCACGGCGGCTCCCGAGTGTTGTATTGCATGCACATTTATTTTTCAAATTTGACTCATTTGTGTGCAGACTGTTGATTCCTTCCCTCCTAGCAGATACCATCTGAATTCGAGGGAAAGCTCCCAGTTAGTCAGCTTTGTTGGCATGCTTTTGGATAGGCAGTGCGTTTACTCTTGTTTTCCCCATAGTCGAGCCCCAGAACCCATACAAGAAGTCCTGGGAAGTAAAAGTGGCCAGCTGGGTGTTGATCACATCACCCATCAAGTGTTAATAGATCTATATAAGTATGTGTCTGGCATCATTTACCTGATGCATCTCTGGTGTTAAAAAGGGTACTTTACATTAGTTTGTGATTCATAAGAAAGAGACAAACACTGTTCTTTGGCCACATAATGAGAAGAGAGACATTGGAAAACATTGTGACAATTGGAAAGATCAGTGGAAAAGGGGTAGAGGCAGACCAAGAGAGGTGATGATGGATGGGCTGAAACAATGGTGTGGAGGAATATCATCAAGGGAGCTGTTCCAGGCAACCAGGAATCGTGATCTGTGGAGATGCATGAATGCCTACACCAGTTGGCAGGAAACATGATAATGATGATGATTCATTGGATTTTGCCACCAAAGGATTATGCGCTGAAATAGCTAGCAGCAGATTTAATCTCCCTCTTCTTGGTCCTTCTGCTACACACATGGTAGGCCACAGTATGTCTTGCTTCTCCTAAGGACTCCGGCAACACATAGATGAACTTGGAAAATATTTTCCATAAGCTAGTGGACCTTTTATGCTCCTCTGAGGAAGAAATTTATTAATAATTTTCTTTAAGATCACAGTCTTCTGTATTTGAATGTTGGTATCTTGTCAGATTATGTGCCGGTGGGACCCCGCTTCTCCAACCTGGTCTTGCAGGCTATGCTGGTCCTGCTTAAGAAGAACCCACCCCAGGTGTGTATTAAAAAAATTAGTGAATTATGTGTGTTGTTGTATCATATATGTTTTCACTGTAATCTTCTTCTTCTCTGTTCACTGGCTGTAAACTCCAGCAGAAAGTCCTGGTCGTTCGTCCATCTGAACTTTGGCTTTGTGCCAGGACCTGAATTTTGCATGTACGTCTATTTTACTGGCTTATTTATGTGCAGTTGGCTGTTCCTTACCTCTCAGGCAGATGTACTCCGACTTCAAAGGAAGCCCCCAATTAGTTTACTCCTACGACATGTTTGTTGGTGAGGCAGTGGAACTATTCTTGTTTTTCCCCACAATGGGGTCCCGGAACCCACACAGGGATTTTTACAATAACTAAATCTGTGTTCACAGTTGACATTGGACATGTTATTATCTGTAAGAGTAGACTGTGAAACAGTAGGGGGATATGCTAATTTTTTTCTTCCTTTTTCTTAGCATTCACCAGCTGTGTATATACAAATGAGTCAGATCTGTAAAACAGATGTACATGCAACACTCAGGTTCTGGAACAGGACTGCAGTCCAAAAGTGGGTGAACAGCATGAACTTTCCGCCAGAGTTTACAGCTGGTGAACACGAAGAAAAAGAAGACATTAAACAATTAGAATTGTCAAATGTTACATTTACCGTTTCTTGCTGACTGGTGCAGAGACCTGAACAATGAACAGGCAATTATAGAACTGTATAGAATCTTCTGGAGATATGGATGTACCAAAAGATATGAAGTAAAAACAGTCGATTACAGAGATTCTCAGAAGACTAGGTATGAAAATTAAAAAGAGACAAGTGAAATATTTTGGTGATGGTAAAAGACATACTCTTTTAAAACCATGCTGGAGGGAAAAGTTGAAACCAGGCAAGCCAGAAGCAGACAGTGATACCATAAGGAGGTTAAAATCCTGAGAGTAGCTGTCTGAGAGAGTGTCTATCCAGGTTGAGAGGCAGAGTGTTGAAGATTCCTATTGCAGCCAACGTTCATTATGAAGATGTCTCTTGATTGAGTTGATTATTATCTCTGTTGTATCTTTAGTAGGAAAGTTGGAGGGAAGGAGAGGCAGAGGAAGACTGAGAGAAAAGATACTGGATAGTTTGACATCATGGCGTGAAGGATCTTCTGTGTCAGTGTTAATTGAAAGTATACAAGACAGAAGGTTGTGGATAGACATGACTACTTCTTCTTCTTCTTCTTTGCGTTCACCAGCTGTACACTCTGGCGTAAAGTTCTGGTTTTTCGTCCACTTCTGGACTGCAGTCCTGCTCCAGAACCTGAGTGTTGCGTGTGCATCAGTTTCACAGATCTGATTCAATTGAATGCAGACTGCTGGTTCCTTGCCTCTCAGGCAGATGCACTCCGACTTCAAAGGAAGCTTCCCAGTTAGTCGACTCTTACGACATGCTTTTGGGGAGGCAGTGGGTCTATTCTTGTTTTCCCCTACAATGGGGCCCCGGAACCCACACGGGGGGACATGACTACTAATGCCACACTGCATGGACTTTCGGAAGAATCTTCAGTAAACAAGCATTACTTTCATCTCCAGGGTCACAAGCTGCTGATCATAGGGACCACATCTCGGAAAGACGTGCTGAGAGATTTTGAGATGTTGCCACTGTTCAAAACTGTGGCCCATGTCAGCGCGATCTCCACTTGTGATCAGTTGCTCACAGTACTGGATTCCTCAGAGGTGTTCACAGATAAAGAGCTGCAAGAAGTTCACAGAAAGCTGGATGGAAGATGGTAGGATATCTTTTGTTGTTTGTTTCTGTTTTCAAAGAAATAATGTTTGGAATTAGCGATGTGTTTCTTACATCAGTTAGTAAATGGGTACTTGTCTGAAGCAGCTAAATATGTTAAATAGCTTAGGTACCCTTATATGGAAGATGTATTCAAGAAGTTAAATATAGAATAAAAGCTCAAGTACCCTTATATGGAAGATGTATTCAAGAAGTTGAATATAGAATAAAAGCTCAAGTACCCTTATATAGAAGTTGTATTAAAGAAGTTGAATATAGAATAAAAGCTCAAGTACCCTTATATAGAAGTTGTATTCAAGAAGTTAAATATAGAATAAAAGCTTAAATACCCTTATATAGAAGTTGTATTAAAGAAGTTAAATATAGAATAAAAGCTTAAATACCCTTATATACACTTTGTATTAAAAGAGTTAAATATAGAATAATTGCTCAAGCAAAAGCAGCATTTCACAATGTGACGAATATTTTATGCAATCTATCTTTGTTAATTGAAGTGAAAAAAGAACCAGTTGGGGTGTAAAAAGATAACATGTGCAATCAGAAAATGAAGCACATACCAAAAAAAAACTGAAATATACAAACCGCGTAGTCATTGTCCTGTTGTACACCTCACCACATAAGTCTTAAGTTAACCATTCGATCCTTTGATTCTTTGCATAAAATCAGTTGAAAGAATTTAATTTTGTGCTTTATTATGCTATTCTGTAGCTTGCAGTTGATAAGATACAGCGAAATATGCCCTGCACTATATTTGTTGTGTCTTTTTTATTTACACTTAATCTGAATTTGCTGAGAAGTCATTTTGATTTTTTACAGGTTGTTCATTGGAATCAAGACTCTGCTTGCTTTGATTGATATGGCAAAACAGGTGAGTTGTTTCAGTTGTTTTTTATTTCTACTGTTGTGTCCTGCTCTTCTGTATTCTGTTATGCTTGTAATATTATATTGTTGTTTTTTCCTTTTCTTTTCTGCTCTTATTTATATTTTACTCTTTTTTACAGAACTATTATTATAAATGTTGTTGTTGTTGCTGCCTATACTTCTTCTTCAGCATTCTGAGCCCTTGAGATTCATTGCTGTATCTATCACTTGCCTTCATTCATCTCTGTGATAAGTCCTCTCTTTCCTGCTGGTGACTCCCAAGTGTTTGCATTCTGTCTGTATATTTGTCTCTTCACCGTCTTCTTTGTCTGCCTCATGGTCTGTGATCATTCAACTCTCTTGTGTACACATTTTTTTTTAACCTCTCTGTCCTCTGACAACCTCTCGTTATGCCCCAACCATACTATTACTACTACTGCTGGTGTTTATTATTTTTTCATATGCCTCAGGTTTTGAATAAGTTGATGTTGCTTATATTATTATTTGTTGCCCAGTTGTTTAAGCTTTCCACATTTGTATTTCCTATCACTAATAAAGATTATTTTTGGAGTATTTTAAACTGTAGAGTCAGGATAACATGGGAAAAACCATGTGAACTTCAACACTGTTTATCTCAGAGTTTATATAAGGCTGAAGGAATGTGTGTGTGTGGTGATCTGAATGTAATAGCAACAAAATAGGAAAAGTTGATATGAATTGGTTGAAGGTCTATGCTCCATTGGGAAATAAAGAGCGGAAGAAGAAGAAGAAGAAGAAGATAGTGCCAGTGTGTTTTATATATAAGTAATCAGTAAATGTATAAAATGTATAGTGAGTTGCCTGCATTGGGCAGATGTCACAATTTTTCAGAACAGTTGTGTAACAATTGGCACCAATAGAATCTGAAATGCAACTAGAAGATAGAGAAAGTGACAATGTCAGGAAACAAGTTGAGATGAAATTAGTACTAAATTACATCAAGAGACAACAGATCAGATGGGTTGGACATGTGTTGAGACTAGATCAGTTGGGTTGGACATGTGTTGAGACTAGATCAGATGGGTTGGACATGTGTTGAGACTAGATCAGATGGATTGGACATGTGTTGAGACTAGATCAGTTGGGTTGGACATGTGTTGAGACTAGATCAGATGGGTTGGACATGTGTTGAGACTAGATCAGATGGGTTGGACATGTGTTGAGACTAGATCAGATGGGTTGGACATGTGTTGAGACAAGATCAGATGTATTGGACATATGTTGAGACTAGATCAGATGTATTGGACATGTGTTGAGTCTAGATCAGATGTACTGGACATGTGTTGAGACTAGATCAGATGTATTGGACATGTGTTGAGACTAGATCAGATGTATTGGACATGTGTTGAGACCAGATTAGATGGCTTGGACATGTGTTGAGACTAGATCAGAAGGGTTGGACATGTGTTGAGACTAGATCAGATGTATTGGACATGTGTTGAGACTAGATCAGATGTATTGGACATGTGTTGAGACTAGATCAGATGTATTGGACATGTGTTGAGTCTAGATCAGATGTACTGGACATGAGTTAAGACTAGATCAGATGTATTGGACATGTGTTGAGACTAGATCAGATGTATTGGACATGTGTTGAGACTAGATCAGATGGCTTGGACATGTGTTGAGACTAGATCAGATGTATTGGACATGTGTTGAGACTAGATCAGATGTATTGGACATATGTTGAGACTAGATCAGATGTATTGGACATGTGTTGAGACTAGATCAGATGTATTGGACATGTGTTGAGACTAGATCAGATGGGTTGGACATGTGTTGAGACTAGATAAGATGTATTGGACATGTGTTGAGACTAGATCAGATGTATGGGACATGTGTTGAGACTAGATCAGATGGGTTGGACATGTGTTGAGACTAGATCAGATGTATTGGACATGTGTTGAGACTAGATCAGATGTATTGAACATGTGTTGAGGCTACCTCCAGGCAGTGCTCCATGAAGAACCCTGTTACTTAGATTAATGGAAGCAGAACTAGAGGTGGACCACACAGGCCACGGATAGATGGATTATCAAAGGCTGTTAGCACCAGCGTCTGTGTAACACATACGAAGGCTCACGCCCGATGCCTCTTCAAGACATGATGCTGAAAGGTAGAAAAGGATTTGAGAAGAAGAAGAAAGATGACAGTTGCCTGGTACTTAAAGCGTTAAATGTTAGGATGTATCAGCCCTAAACGCTGACCTCCAGTAAAGGTTGCAATTTAATTGATATAAAAGAACATAATTGATGCTCAAAAGGGTCTCCATGGCTAGCTGGTTAAGACACTGTCTCTCTCACACTCTGAAGATCACTGGTTCCTTTCATAGACTGCATCAATTGGTTCACAAATGCAGTTTTTTACAGAGGCCCTTAGAGATCATCACTGAAACTACAGGGTTTGTGCTTTATGTGATGCTCTCGGTAGGCATCTAGCCATCTGCAGAGATACTGAGCTGACAGAATAAAACATAGTGCAATAAAATTAATCTTGTTTTCTTAAAATCTTTTAAACTTTTTAGTTGATACTATTATTTGATGTGTTCACAGATGGAGTCGGGACTCCGAGCTGACAAGTTAATGAACCTTTTAGAAGATTTGAATGCCATTGGCTACAACCAAGTACCATGACCTCCATGAAATGTTGTGTGAACTGAGATCGACACTAGAAGTAGCATCTACCTGCATTTTTATCTCATTGATATTTATTGTTTCCATTTGGTTTCTTTCCACTTTTTCTCTCTTTCAAAGTAGATACTAGTCCCAGGCATTGTTATCGGTGTTGTGTCATTTTCCAGCATAGAAGGAGATACATTAGTTATCTCAGTTATCATTAGACTTGCTAACTGGTATGGATGATAATGCCTTTTTTTTTCTAATCCCCACTAGATTGTATCCATTTATATAAATCCTCTCCCCCCCCCCCCCCCCCCCCTTTTCCCCCCCCTCAGTTATCATTATTATCAGACTTGCTAACTGGTATGGATAATAATGCCTGTTCTCCTAATCCCCAGCAGATTGTATCAGTTTATATAAATCCGCCCCTCCCCCCTCCCCTTTGTCATGAGGAGTGTTATCAAGAATCTTCCATCACTGTCATCCTCTACCTCTTTCTCCATAAATCTTACCAATTGTTACAGTATGTTCCAGCTTTCTCTACTCAGCTAAATGTTCAGCATTGAAATGTTTTTATTCACAACTGTCTACATGTTGTTAAGCACACTAAACTACAGAGCACATTCTTTCAATAAAGAACAAATGTGTGCCTTCTCCGCAAGTTGGCTGCAGTGCATTCACTGCTGTCTTTGGATATATAAAAATTTCTGGGGAATATGGTGGATAGACAGCCTTACTGTTTTTTTTTAAATCATGGCAAGTTTTTGCTTCTGACAATAGTTAGCTGTTGCATTTTCCTCCATTGTAGAACTGAAGGGCCATAATTCCATTGCTCAGCTACTGATAGTGCATGGTGCAACACTGTGAGCTGTGGATTTCACTTAGAATACTTTTACCTGTGCCCAATGTGGTTTGTGTTGTCAACTACAGATTAAGGAAATGACAAGTGGTCTGTTGCCAGAGAACTGGTGGTGCTTTGTGCGAATAATTGTATGTGCATCTACTGGTCTGTTGTAACTGCTGCTTCCAGGCTATGAACAGCATTTCTAGTGCCAGATTGTTTGTGTTGGTGAGTCTGACAGCTGTCTTATGCATTTAATGCATATGTATGCTATTGGCTTTGCTAAGACTAGTCTGTGTCCTGTTTCCCACAAGGGGCAGTGCTGGACATTCATTGTGATTTTCAGTGGCACAGGAATGGAGAAACTGTGCGGTGACCCATTTGCTATGTAGTTCATCAAACTGCAATTACATAATTACCTGATTTGGATATATTACATGTTGAAGGTGCAGTCTCTTCCATGTGCAACTCATGTACCACTGTCTGAAAGGAACATTTTCATTTTCCTAGCCGCCTACCGCAGCAATCAGATCCAGTAATGCAGTGGTTTGGATTGTGAAACATTTTTTTAACCTCTAACCCCTAGATTATTATAAAAAAAGTCTAAGGTTCCAGATTTCTCCTGCTTCTTCTTCTCTTGCTCTAGTTTCGTAGGGTGGAGACTCCGAGAATAATAACTGCGTTTCTTTGTAATGCAGTTCTGAGACAAGGTAATTGTTTAAAGATTTTTAAGAAGTGCAGAATTAAGGAATTTGCTAGTGCTGGAAAAATAGAGAGGAGGCGTGCAAGAAAAACGTGATGTGGTCAGTGAACAATAAGAAATGGAGTAGAAGCAGTCTCTGTGAGTGGAGTGCACAGAATGACACAGGGCAAAGTGTGTTTGTTGAATACTATGTTCATCCCATCTTCAGTACAAGAACGACTCATGATGATGTTATGGATGATGATGGTGATGATAACTAGTTTTTAAAAAACTATTTAAAGAAAAAGAAGATACCCCCTTGAAAAATATTTCTTTTATATTGCCATATGAGGTGGGGTGGCCAGTTCCTGTCCTCATTGCCTTTTACAAATCGTCTCTTCTTCTATTGATTCCCTGTGGAGCATAGACCCTCAACCAATGCAGGCCAAGTCATCCATCTTTTGCTATCAACCTCCCCCACCCACCCCCACCCCTATTCATATATAATTAGAAAATTTGTAGCATTTTTTTATGAGGATGGGTGAACCCCAGGACCACACACTGCTGGTCTCAATGCAGACATATTTTATTCACCTGCAGACCAAATAGGGCTGTGCCTTGAATTTGACATTCCTTTCTGTGGTTGTATGTAAGAGTTTGTTGCCAGCTGCTTGAACACTAGGGAGGGGGAAGAGTGTACAGCTTTGAGTGTAGTGGCAGGCTCAAGAATCCACATGGTAAATTGTCATGTGTGTCCTGTTTTTCTAATTAGTATTAAATAGCTTATGATGTTTGGAACTTTGTCGAAATTTGGAACATTTAATATTTGGTTTGACTTTATTGTGACTGAAGATGCCAGAATTTCTGACTACCAGAAAATCTTCCACATAGTATACTTATTTGTGCCAGCTAAGACTTTGGTGCCTATTATATGTGAGTATTAAAATATGTCTTGTAGAGTTCCCTAATACAACTAATTTATACTATATAGGATTTGCTCTTTTTGGATTTGCATCCGGAGAGTTGCCCTTTGAGTAGGCGTCAATCTGTCAGGCTGAAAACTTGGATTAGTGTCCTCTTTAGTCAGACAACTCTGGGCCAAATAAAGCATGTGTAATGTATGTAAGATTTTACGGTGTTTATGAATGGAACCATCAAGAGCCTTGTTACGTAGCTGCTGTGGAAAATCTGACTTTGGTGGGGTGTTTCTGGTGTATTAAATAATTATTGTCACTTGGTTTGTTTTGTTTCATTTGCTTGCTTGTTTAGTCTTCTGAATGGATGTTAATGTTATTTAGTGACCATGACTGATTAAAAAAACATGTTCATATCTGATTGTTGATTTGTTGGAGGCTGGGTAATTTAGTGAATTGTTTATACTTTCTGGTTATAACCATGAATAATATTTCCTCACACATCTGAATAGAACAGACCAGGCCACTATGTTTCACTTAAGGCATTGAACACTGTAGACTTAACAAACACATATATAATAGTTAATTAATCAAGAGATTATCTTTTTTTGCACATCGGACAAGTCCATAAGCGCTAGGATCCCATCTTCAGTATATCCCCTAGCGTGTGGCGACTGATAAGACAAGTTCTGTGTTGGTTAACTGTTCTTCTTTGGCTACCTATATATTGTTCATGTTTGGCGATATCTCTTTTGACCTGAAGTTCTTGTAGTCTTTTGAATGTTGCCGACTCCTTCTTGAGAGCATTGAGAATGTCAACCAGGTCCATTGCATACATTTAAATTAGGTATGAATGAGATAATTCTCTGCCAGTGTCTTCTTCCTGCTGAACAGACTCCAGAACTTGTTTTGCAAGACTGCCCTCTCCTGGAGGAGCTGGGGAAAACCCAGTAGACCCGACAACTAAGCTTTTTGGGAAACTTGAGAGATCTCGAGCTGACATTCAAGTTTAGAGCCCATAGTGGATTAAGCGCTTACCAAAGATCACTGAGGAAGAAGCTTTGCTTTAATGTATTGTCATCCATCTGTGAATTCTTTTCTTTATAGAATTCTTATCTGACTGTGAATTTTTGGCTTTTGTAAATTTTGTCTGTGAAGTGTTCTGTAAGTTTCTGGCTTGTGTAAATTGGCCACTTTGATTATGTAAATTGTTTACCCTCTACAGACCCTCTGTATGCTGTTAATTATTATCCTTTAACTGACTATCCCTATATAAATTGTTGTCCCTGTAAATTTGAAACTTGATCTTTAGATCTTAGTCACCCTGTTGACTCTAGTAGCTTGTGTTCTTGTCCCCTAAAAAAAAAAACCATAAAATATAAGAAAATACCATAATGCACTCTGGCACATTAGTCTGTCATCTATTTGTAGAAGTTATTTTGACCCTAAATCAACTAAAGGACCCTTTTCCCCACCTTCAGGTATATTGGGCATTTAGGTCAAAGATCCCTTTCCCACACCTTTAGGCGTACTGGCAATACAGGTCTAGACCTATATTTTTAAATACCAGTTGGCACTTGGTGGGTGATGTGGTCAGAATCACGCCTGCAATCCTCACTTCCATGACTACACCTGGCACCCAGTGAAAGCTTGGTTACCCTGGGGTCAAGGCCATCTTTAAAAACAGAAAGGTCAGCACCTGAACCCATGCTACATCATAGCGGCTTGCCTTACTTTGACATTCTGTGTTTAAATACCACATTTCTGGTTTATACAAACTATGATCACAAATGTTGAAAGAAAATAGTATTTATCTTCTTCTTCTTTGTTGTCTTCTGAAGCATCCCTTCCTCCTTTGTTTCATTCTAAGTATATCACATTTTGTTGATACGGCTCTCTAAATTAAAGGTCAGTTTCCATTGTTAATACAGCTGTAAAAATTCAAGATCACTGTACATGCTATTATATAGTAAAATGACACTTTTGTCATGTCTAAAGATGTATTGGGAATAGAGGGCTAGACCTATATTTTATAGATAATCGGCACTTGTTGGGTGATGTGGTCAGCATCACACTGGTGGCGTTTACTTCACAGGATGTTGCTGGCTGTCCATTTAAGGCTGGTCATTTTTTTTAAATAGTCTGGCTGCATCAAGAGCTAACCCATGTCCTTACGATCCACAGGCTGGCATCTAGCTGCTACACCATGGCAGCTCTCCTAATGTATAGTACAAAAAGTAAAATCTTTCAACTGTAATAATATTGCTAGGATACAGTTGGTGGTATGACTTTCTTCACGTTTTGTCATTCTTATAGACATTGTACATATAATTGCTATAGAAAAAGTCAAACATGTCAAATGGAATACTGTTCTAAATATAGACAAGTAATCTGTAGAAAATATGTACTGTTCATACCTACATGATGTAGGTTTTTCATAACATGAACATATGTTTATATGTTCTTATTTGTCTTCTTGTGATCGCTTCTATGGTTTACACCAACAGATGAGTTCTTGAGTTAAAATTGACAATTTTTCTGAACTCTTCTTTCGTTCTAAACAACATTAGGAATGATT